TTTTTTTTTTTTAAAAAAATTAAAAATCGAAAACGTTACCATATGCAACCTTAGTTTTTTCAAAAAAGTTTTGATTAAAAATAACTATTGAGGGTATTTTGAACAATAGAGATCAAAATAAACTTATCCTCAAATAATTTTTTTTGAGTATACTTAAATCTAAATAAGTTTAAAAAAAACGACTAATCTCCCTAAGCCCCAATTTAAATTATGAGATCTTCTGAAAGTTTGGGAGCTAAAGCCCAAATTTTATTTTTTAAACTATTGGGCCGGCCCTAAGTTGTGGGGAAAACTAAAATGTAGAATTAATCCTAACATATAAAGACCGATCTTAAATAAGCTCATTTTATAAGACATCAATCAAACTGACTTGTAGTATTCTCTATATTTAGTTGCAACTTGGGTACCATCAAAGACGGAAACGTTTTGAAAGTTTCAAAATAAAATTTTATTCCTTTATGGCCCCGTCCATTGAAAAAAATAGGACAGTATTTGGGACCCAAGATATTCATGGGATAGGACAAGGTACTATTTGGGTGGGATGCTGAATGTAGAGAAATGTAGAAAAATTCTCGAGTCTCTGTCCTAGACAAGGTCCTTTTGGGTGCATTTATAGCCACACGAGTTATTCGTTTGGTTTCTATTCTTCACCTATTCAATGGGTCCCCTTAGTATTGGATTCACAACAAAAGGCAATCACTAGCTCATTATTTTTTTTCCCAGCAATTAGGAATATTTAGGTTAATTTATGTATATTTTAATTAATTTTTTATTTAGTCTGTTTAAAGGTAGGTCATCTATATTATAAATAAAATATTTATTAGAGATAAATCTCTTAAGATTTAACCTTAATTAGTTGTCCAAATTTAAACTAAAGACGTCTAAATTTACAACACGTCTATGTTACCTAGTACTGTTAATCAAACTTGGCTCAAGTTCGACTCATTTAGACTTGGTTCGTTTTCTAAATGAGTCTGAACTTGAACAAATTTTTAGGCTTGTTTAAAAGACAAGCCCTACAAGCTTGACTCAAACTCGACAGACTTAACTCGTTTATATTCAAATACTCAGGTTCGGCTCGATTTATTTTTGGTTTGTTCAGAGCCGGCTCATTTCCTAAACGAGCCAAATTTGAACAATTTTTTAGGTTCGATTAAGAAACAAACTTTTCAAGCTCGGTTCGAAACTCAGTTCGGACTCATTTGACTAAGAGCCCTAAATTGTTACCTCTTCAATTACTCATCGGAGTTACCAGCTTATTTTTCTTTTCTCCTCAAACCTTCCTACACTTGGGAAGTTAAAAAATTTCCAAACAAAATATTAACTCTATTTTCTTCCCTTTTCATTTCTTTTCTTTACAAACAAAGCATGAGGGGCTCTAAAAAATTATTAGCTTAATATAAATTATAATTATTTTCAAGGAAGTATTTTCCCCTTTGTTGTTTTGACCGGCTTTTCAACTCTTTTTGATGAAAGATATGGGTAGAATCAAATATTCAAATATTTATTGTTTATCCACGAGAGCATATCAACTTTTCAAATTTTTTTCACATTCTCTAAAAATTAGTCACATTTATCTCTTTAAAAATATATTCTAACTCATTTCAAGTCATGGTGTTCAGTCGTTGAACTCGAGGGAATAGTCTTACAAGCTTAAACACCTTGTAGCAAAAAAAAAAAGAAATACCGGCTTTCCAAATCACCTTCTTCTTTTACTCCATTGGTTATAAACACTTTTCTATTATTTATGTCTTTTGAATAAAATAGATATTGCATTTTTGAACTCCCTTAAAGGTAAATTCCACTTGTTGATTAGGTAATTGCAAATGAATGTGTTGAAAGAGCAACATACATGATTAATTATAAAGTTTGCATTTTGTCTTATTTTAGGTTTTTTTAAACGCTCTTTGATTGAACCATTTGAAGTAAAATTAAAAATTTCTAAAACTAAAGTGACACAATTGAAAAAATAAAGACTAAAGTGAGATAAAATACTGGACCATTATTGCATTTTGCAATTATTAAAACAACCAAAGACCACTTAAACTAAAAAGCTCAATTAGAATAACCCAAAATCAAACCATAGAAGAAGTTTTAATGAACATGTTTGATAGTTTTTTTTTTTTTTATCAAAAACATGTTTGATAGTTAAGATATAAAGGTTCAAGAGTTATTATCTTGAGATTCTAAATTTGACTTAAATAGTTTGAAATTAGTATAGTTCTCAATTATTAAAAAATAAAAAATCCTATACGCTCTACAAATGGAAAAAAGCTCAAATCAAAGTATAGGGTCTATTTGGAACTAACTTCTTTAAGTGTGAAACAGAGGTTTGAAAAGTAAAATGAAAAAATCAAAGTCAGAAAACTCTAAGAATCATTTGGTTTGTTTTCGAAAAAATCAACTTTCCTTTTGAAGTTTTTAGAGAAGTCCCCCTTTTTAGCTTTTTCTTGGTGTTTATAAAAGTTATTTTTGTCCAAAAAGCCAATGAAAAAGTCGCCTAATAAGCTCCGGTCTAACCAGACTGGAGAGAGGAGTAGTTGAAATGCACGTATACTGTTTTGAATACAAAAAAAAAATGACATTATTATTTGGGAGGGGAACAAGGAAACTCAAGCCCACAATTTTAACAGCAAAGTCGATGGCTATTAGACCAAATATTTATTTCTTATTAATATCGTAATTTAAATGTGAATGATTTGTTTTTAATTAAATTAGAAAGGAGATTAAGTAAAGTGTGCATAAATTGATCCGAACATTATAAAAAAATATTATTATCAAAGAAGAAGATAACAAATTCAAACTCGTAACTTTAAAATTTTACAGTAAAAACAATAATTATCAGAAAAACCGCTGCCCTCTATATATCTTATCGAAGAATACACTTTTATTTATTTTTGCAGTTGGACATTAGGAAGCCGACATGAACATTCTTCTCCATAACAAAGTTGGAGTTGGACCTACCACACAGTGTATTTGTCCAGATATGGTCCAAGGAAGTTCAAGCCCCTGAAGAGTACATGTACATCCAATCATAGACTGAACATGGACACTGTGACCCAACCGAGACCTGCCATTGACCTCATCCCCAACCTTATGATTTTCCCCTGAAAAGGCAGTTTCGGCATCATCTCTGCAGTACGCTCATTCATTGCATCACACTCACATAATCACAAACCCATATCACTTTGTCAGTACAATAATGAGTTAATTACATTAGACGCCCGAAAAAATAAATTTATTTTATTTTAATCTCCAATATTTTAATTATATCATTTTAATTCATAAAATATTAAATATATTTCTATATAATTCATTAAACAGACAACATTTAAGTTATTAATAATTTTTTATTATAAATTTATCACGTGATACCTAAACATTGACAAAAAATAATTTGAAGAACTCTTCACCAAAATTTGGGTAGTTCTTGATCAAAAATGTATAATATAGATAAATCTTAACCAAAATTTAGATAGTTTATGATAAAAAATTATATGATTTGGGCAACTTTTTGACTAAAATTTGGGTAAAAATTTGAAAAAGAGATATTCAAATTATTTTTTTGTCTATATTTAGGTATTATGTGGCAAATTTTTAATTAAAAATCATTAGTAATTTAGATATTATCTACTTGAGAGGCCACATTGAAATGTATTCAATATTTCATAGATCAAAATAATACAATTTAAATATTATGAACAAAAATAAGACAAACTCAATATTTTAGATAACACGGTGTAATTAATCCTACAATAATTGTTATACAAAGATAAAATAATTAATCATATTATTTGAATTTGATTTATCAATATAAAATTTGTTATCTTGAATAACATGGGATCTATAGTTAATCTAATGAAATTATATTATTATGTCTATTAATTAAATCAAAAATTTTAGATCTAAATGACATTATTTCTAAAAGGGAACGACACTTTTTGAGTTTTTCTTCTAAAATATTCTAAAAGTTGCCTTTTATCACCTGAAAAGCTAAAAATTTCATATGGTTCCTCTGATTTGTCATAAATATTGCAATGTGCCCCCAAAATAATACAACCTTGGGTTTCTTGCCTATTGGTTTTGAATCCAACCCATTATAAGCTAGGCCTAGATTCGACCACCCAAACCACAAGTCTCCCATTCCCTCATTTCTCTTTATTATATGTCGTTGTTTTTGAGACTACCACTATCCCTAATTGTCGCACCGCCATTCTCTCTCTTTTTATTGCTTGCAAGTGAGTGACCAACATATAATTTGTGGTGGTGATGGACTTAATTGAACTTGAGACGGATTTAAGAGTTTGTTGCTAATGGATTAGTGGTGTTGGTATTGGGTGTAGGGACATGGTGGCTTGTGTGAAGATGAGGGTTAATGGCTGCCATAGGTTGAATGTATTCATGTGTGCCAATAACTATGGTAATGGCATTGTGTCTGTGACTGTTCAAATTGATGGTGATGTTGGGTTTCATTGTAGATGTAGTGGCATTGATGATGGTTGTGGATTATGTGTGTTAGTGTACAATATTTGCATATCGATAATTATTATTGTCACGTCTTGACCGCGATGACAAAGAGAGAGAAAGGAAAGATAATGGAAAGAGATTTTAAAAATATATATATATATATATATGTGGTTATTGAATTATCCCTCGTTACAGCACGTGCATGGCGTGTGAGAATTTTCTAACTTAGAGGGGATAAAGTGAAACTTACTTAAACTTTTTGCGGAGGCAATGTAATTAGTCCAACCAGTAATAAACACAGCACATACTCTCACTCGTAACTCCCGCTGAAACTCGTCGTCATCATCACCACAACCACCACCACCACCTCCTCAACTATCCACTCTCATCCCAAACCCTCACTCACTCTCCCTCTTTCTCTCTCTAGAGATGCTTCAATCTTGTTCCCAAACGATTCCCAAAATGGCCACCTCTTCAAAACCCACATGCACCCTTCTCTTGCTCCTCACCCTATCTATTCTAGCCCTGTTCACCATCCTCCCACTCCACCAACACCGCCACCCCGCTGTTTCCAGAAGTCCCCAGGACCCCCTTTTCTACCAAGACACATTCCTCTCCTCGGCGACCAACTACACCTTCTCCACCTACCTCCGCCACCTCACCCCCACTCCCACCTCGCCGGCACTCCACCCTCCCTCCAAACAGCTCTCTACGTCCAAAACCCACTTCCAAAAACCTCAACCTTGCCACCCACCAAAATGATTACGCTGTCCTCCTCTCTTATCCTATGCACT